ATTTTATAATTTGTCCCACCACCCTGACCAATCTCCTACACCAGACTCTTGGGGGAGGGTAGTTAGGAGTGACTTTTTGAAGAGGTAGTGAAAAACTGAATTCTAACAAGACAGGTAAACAAAGGATGAACAGTGTTTTGGGGAGAAAGTGCCTAGCCTAGATCCTAGGCCAAAGTAGGCATGGTGTACCAGTGATAAGGACTAGGGGGCAGAGAAATTCTAGGAAGAAAATGGTGGGTCTCTGACAAAAACCACACCTTTAAGCTGAAAAACCTAAAACCTATGGCCCAAAGTGAGAACTTCTATCCCAGTTTTCCTGTTTGAATACTGCCTTTTCCTAAATTACCCATGGCTCACCCACCCATCATCCTGTGCCTATAAAGACCCCAGACCGAGCCAGCAGTAGGGAGAAGCATCTGGATATCAGGGAATACAGCTGAACATCAGAGAGAAGTGGCTTGACTTCAAAGGAACAGCTTGATGGGATAACTTCAGAGAAGAACCCAGCCAGAGACAGCCGAACTTCAGAAGATTAAGTGCCTACTCCCCTTTTCAGGGCTTTCTTACTGAGAGCCACTTTCACTTGCAATAAAGTTCCCCACATTTAGCATCCTTCAATTCATTCATGTGACCTCATTTTTCCTGGGTGGACAAGACCTCGGGAGCCAAGAGTGTGGATACAAAAGGCTGTCACACAGGCCCTTCGACCGTGCTGGCAAAGGGCAGCCACCTTGCATGAAAAAGCAAAGGGCCCACTGAACTGTTAACACTTAAGCCATCCGTGGACAGCAGAGCTAAAAGAGTACTGTAACATACCCGCTGGGGCTTCCAGAGTTGCAGGCACCCCACCTGGATGGTGCAGCTGGGTCTGCACAGCTGGCACCCAAAATCATTCTCTCTGTCTTCTGTACCCACTCACCTAAGCTCTTACTCTGCAAGAGGTCGAACACAGCATGTCCAAGTGATGGGAGTTTGAGCCTGCCAGTGCTGAAACGGTAGGCTGGTTGCAGCACACATGCATTCCAGTTACCACCTTATTCAGTTGTGCACTACCTCCCAGGAGAAATTGAAAGTGGTGGGCTGAGTTAAAGAGGCACTTCTGTCACCATTTCCATGAAGGGGTCAGAGAAATATCTTACTTCACCAGAATGAGTATTAAATACATGTATTGGTAATTTTAAATTGTTACCTTTTTGAAATACAAAAAGATTTTCAATTCATATTCCTCATATATGTTATCAAAATAAGCTTGTCTGTGCTTATAAATTAATGATACCTAAATTCTCATTTCCCTACATACTACTCAACTCTCTGCTACAGTTATTTCCAGTTATTATTTATTGTGAAAGAGTCTATGGCCCCTGTGTGCACATCAGAAACTATAGTATTATTACCTATTGTAATTCTTACGTGTTCTTTCAAATTATTCTCCTTATGCTGAAAATCACTAGCTTTTGTTCATGAATAATAATATGTTTTAAGAGTTAAAACTGAATGTCTGATACCGTATCTTCAGATAACTAAAGCTCCTGTCCTCAATGATTTCACTATCTGATTATCTTTTAGAAATGCTGTCTTGAGGACTGCATTGAGGAGTCCATTGAGGACTGCTTTTATACTATCCAATGCCTGCTCTAGATAAACAAATTTCAAAATCTCAGCTGGAGGTGAGTGCTTGCCTTCATAATAAACTCATCAGAAGCTTATTGTCTTCATTCTTTTCTTGCTCTTGCTTTTGAATCCATCCTCAAGCACATCTTTCCTTTTGTTTGTTTCTTGGTTTGATAATGCATATTAATGGGACAGATGCAGCAAGAGTCTGTCAAAGTATTTGGAAGAGCTAAAATTTCATTTATAAATTGTTCCTGCCCTAACACTTCACACAGTTGCTATGTCTCCGTGCATTACTAAAAGAAGCCTCTGACATCCATAATAATCATTTCCAGTTCTGGGCAACACAGTATATTACCCTTAGCTGTGATCCCTGTTACACAGCTCTTCTTCAGCCTCCCTGGAGATGAAAGAAATTAAAAACAAAAAATGTTAATGGAAGTATTTACACATGTGTTTTATAATTAATATTAGATAATATAAGAATATTAGAATATTCTGGAAACTACTTTTCAACTCAAACCTGTGAAGATATTAATATTTGAATATATTGATCCAAATAAGGTTTCTTTGCTTTAAAGTATACAATTTCCATTTGAAATATTTTGATAAAATCAAATGCAATGATTTCTTATATAAAGTTAAGAAAGCCAATTGAGTTTTTTCTTAAAACAATAATACAAAATAGCAGTGAAGGTTAAGAAAGCTGGTAGGAGAAAGCTGTGATATTAAGACCTAGTTTATTCATTTGTTGATAATATTAATTATTGTCCAAATGTAGTTCAAACATGAGTGATAAGCCAGAAATTTTTTTATGAGAATGGTAAAGGAAGTATAGAAAACTCCTCCTTGAAATCCAATCCTGCTGTAGGCTTGAGGCACACATGTCAGCATTGTGGTTAAAATCGCAGATTCTGGAATCAGATTTCATCAACTCAGATGCTAGCTTCAGAAAAGTTATTTAACCTCTCCAAGTCCCAGTTTTCATATCTATAAAATGAAGATTATAATATGGTTGTGAAAATTAAATGAGAGTATTTCAAGTGTGTAACGAAGAGTATGACACATGGAAAATGTCCAATATGTTAGTTATTATTAACAGATAAATAAGACATATTAATTTCCTTGCTATACTCAATACTTCCTTCAGCATGACCATGGTGCTTGCCCACCAAAGCCATCAGCAGTGTATGAGTACGCATCAGGGTGAGAGTATGTGTATTAGAAGAGAGAGTAGACAGTATCATCTCTATTTTTAAACCATTTCTATGATTCTGTATCCAACTTTTTTGAGAAATACATTCAATTGTGGTTTTTGTTCATGATGTTTGTGTCTGCAAGCCCAAATTTAATTTAGAAATTTAGATTTGAAGTATTATTTCCAAATTTAGAACAGAACAACAGAAGAGAAAATTAGGTAAAAATGTTTTGTACTTCACAAATTATTGCCAGAAGCATATTATAACTATGAACAGAAAAATTGCATATTAAAAATTTGTATCTCAACACAGTGAGGTTCTACATTGCCTAAGTAGCTAATTAATTTACTGAATCGATCTAAAAATACAAAAATTGTCAAATATAAAATATAATTAGTCATCAATTTACTAACATCAAATTTGAAAAGTTGTAATTTTCTCATTTGTTTTAATCTGTATATTTTAGGTAATGCCTTGGGCATTGTATGTAATTAGTAAATAGTTGCTAACTTGAACTGGAATATGCAAAATAAGGTTTAGAATAGAGTAGATTGAATAACAAAGCAAAGAATAATAATCGCATCCTGTTTAAGGTTGAGACGCTGTTTAGGGAAGGTTTAAAACCAAAGTCATATCAGTTCCTGTCTTGTCAAGAGATTTTAATTTGTTGTTGTTGTTGTTTTGAGACAGAGTCTCCCTCTGTCACCAAGGCTGGAGTGCAGCGGTGCCATCTCCATTCACTGTTACCTCTACCACCTGGGTTCAAGCGATTTGCATGCCTCAGTCTCCCAAGCAGCTGGAACTATAGGTGTGCGCTACCACACCAGGCTAAATTTTTTGTATTTTTAATAGAGATGGGGTTTTGCCATGCTGACCAGGCTGGCATTGAACTCCTGACCTCTGGTGATTCCCCCGCCTCAGCCTTCCAAAGTGCTGAGGTTACAGGCGTGAGCCACCATGCCCAGAGCCACCGCACCTGGCCAGCTAGTGAATTTCTAATAAAATGTCTAATTTTGCAAAGAAAGCTAGGTGTATTCAGCCTGCCCATTTTAGCTTTTAAACAATTAGCTGTGTGCCTTTGATCAAGTAATTTAACTTTTACTGGTTTCCATAATGGCTCATCTGTAAAAGAATAACAATAATGTCCTGTGTTGTTGGAAATGGCTTGAACCACGAATATTTGACTAGGCTTGACAAACTAGCATATTCCACGGCTCATTTTTAGACTTTTGAGTAAAAACTCAGTGGCCAGTCTTGGGAAGCTACACTGAAAGAAATCCTATGTGATTCTTATACTACCAACCTTTGACACCCATTAATGACTGATCAAAGGAAAGAGTTGCTGCTTAGCATCGATGAATATGAGTTGAGCTGAGGCATTGTCTCCTCTGGGAACAGAATTTAGGTATCTAATTATTCTCTAAAAGTTATGAAATAGAATAATAAAAAGCATTTACATGTAAGTAAAAATAAATAATATTATGTACTAAATTTTTATTTATTGCCTCCAAAATCAGGTAAACAACAATGAAAAACAATATTTTTATGTGAATAGTATATCACAGGCTTAGAAATTTGCAGTTTTTCTTAGAACTTAGGCCTAGCCTTACCATACATATATAACTTTGCTATTATGTCTATATTTTTTGTTTTCAAATCTCTATGGAGCACAGAATCTGTGGCTAGGCATTGTTATGACCATTTTATGCATTTTAATAAATGTAACAGTCATGCAGATATGCTGCTTTTTGATACTATATGAGTTTCCTTTTTCGGCACACGTTCATACTGGCTTATCAAAAGAAGAATTAATAGGAAATGTACTTTCTTCACACAGATTCCCTCTTCAAAATTGGAATGTGAGCAAAAGAGTGCTATTCTTTTTGAATTGATTCTATTTGGCTATTTGGCTGCCTTTTTACGGGAAAATTGAAAAGGCTCACACAGAATTTATCATTATATGTAGAAAAGGGAGCCAAAGATACAAGGAAAAAGTAATTCAGAAAGTATATCATCTCAGAATGCATTTTCTAACAGAAATAAAAAAAAAAAACTTGCTGGAACGTTTTAATGTTTCTGTATTTTCAATAATAAATGATTTGAATAATGACTCTATCTAAGATTTTTACATTTTTTTCCTTTACAAAATAGAATATACTCCTAGCTCCAGAAAGGATAAAGGAGACTTACCTTTGCTCAATGTAGCAAAGGTCTTGAACATAACTATCAAAAACACTGCACACTTTGTAGGGAGTCTGCACACTTTGCTACTTTTAAGCAAAGCATGAAAAGATAAACTTGAAAATGGAAAAAAAAGACATTAAAGTTTTAAATTAGGTCAAATGATTTTTTCTGCTGGCAAGTGTCTTCTAGGTCTTGTTGTAATCAAAACACATTTGGTTTTTCAACATTTCAGTGTATGTGTCTACAATCATTTTACCAGAGACATGCTTGCATGTAAGCAGCTCCTAATGTTCAAATTAACCAAAGTCTGCAAACCAGCCCCCACATTTTCTTCCAGTTCTACTGTCATCACAATTGTATTGGCTTTTTGATTCTTACTTTATAATTCTATTTGTTCACTGATTCAACAAATAATTGTAAGCTTAATATATGCTACTATGTTAGACTTAGTAGGTAAAATTAAAAAAAAAAGGAACATCCTCCACCCCTTTAAAATGTTGGACTCTCAATACCCCAAACTTCCTAAACTTTGTTTTATCCAGAGTGAAGTTCCAATCAAGTTCAAGGCAGGCAATAACAAATTCTAGTCTCTGTTGATTTTATTCCTAGCACCAATCTCATGTATAACTATACTCTATGTGTATAAACTTTAATGTATTTTTAAAAATTTAATGTATTTTTTTCATATCTCATGTGCATTGAAATTAATTGCTTTATTCAAATATGCCCTTATTTTGTGGTGAGAGAATATCTCTCAAAGGTAATCAGTGTTCCTTACTTGCAATTTCTGAACTACTATTAGTAAAATAGCAAACTATAACCCAATGCCTATTGTTGCAGTTTTTACACATAATTAATATGACCAAATATTTTTAGTGATTTATAAAAGTTTATTACATATGTTATCAGTCTTTTGCTCAGGCTAATACTTAATCAGTTAAAATACTGCTATTTTAGAGTTAATGATCATAAGAGTTAAAGGTTAGTTACAGGAGCTTAGAATTTTAACTAAATTTTGGAAACAATTATGCTTAAAGGATAAGAGGAAAATATAGATTTCCTGACTATAGCAGGTTATGTCCAATATAAAGCCCTGAATGGACTTAAATGACCTTTAGGACCTATCTGATTATACCAGGAAACAGAAATGCTAAGAGGCATTTATGAACACAGGTTCTCAGACTCTAGTTAGAGTCACAGCCATGGAGGATCTGTGGCCAAAAGCAGGAGCAGGTCTTGACAAGGAGATGAAGAGGATGAAGAGACAGGGAAAGCCAAGAAAAACCAAGCAGCTCAAAAACTAAGCTGTTATGAATCAGAATTCGTAACTGCCCAAGATTTTTCTTGATTGGACATTAGGTGGGGATATTGTGTTGTCTGAAAGGTAAATATTGGGGTAAACAGATTTGGTTCACAGCTATGTGACAACAGTGTAAGCATTGCCCCTGTTAATATTCTCAGTAATAAAGGATATTGTCTTACAAAATTTATATAATCATTTATTTCCTCTCACAATTTTTAAATTGTCCATTCTTAGAATGGTGCAATACCTAGTTTTCCAGACACTATTCAGAATGATCCACCTTATTTATTAATGCCACCAATAGTCATATTAAAACTCATGCTTTGAGATGAAAATGTTGTGAAAAGCTACTAAACTCCAAAGGATACAGACTAACAGGTGATGGCAGAATTATAATGTCCACATCTCTGAAAGCTATGTTATTTAGTAGATATTTAATAGATTTGTAAAGGTCTAGAGATTTTAAACTGCTTATATTTAAAAAGTTATTTTTTTTTGTTTGTTTGGTTTTTTTTTGTTTTTTTAATTTTTATTGGATTTTAGGTTTTGGGGTACATGAGCAGAGCATGCAAGACAGTTGCGTAGGTACACACATGGCAGTGTGCTTTGCTTTTCTTCTCCCCTTCACCCACATTTGGCATTTCTCCCCAGGCTATCCCTCCCCACCTCCCCCTCCCACTGGCCCTCCCCTTTTCCCCCCAATAGACCCCAGTGTTTAGTACTCCCCTTTCTGTGTCCATGTGTTCTCATTTTTCATCACCCACCTATGAGTGAGAATATGTGGTGTTTCATTTTCTGTTCTTGTGTCAGGTTGCTGAGGATGATGTTCTCCAGATTCATCCATGTCCCTACAAAAAACACAAACTCATGATTTCTGATTGCTGCATAATATTCCAGGGTGTATATGTGCCACATTTTTTCCGATCCAGTCTATTATCAATGGGCATTTGGGTTGATTCCAGGTCTTTGCTATTGTAAACAGTGCTGCAATGAACATTCGTGTTCATGTGTCCTTATAGTAGAACGATTTATAGTCTTTTGGATATATACCCAGTAATGGGATTGCTGGGTCAAATGGAATTTCTATTTCTAAGGCCTTGAGGAATCGCCACACTGTCTTCCACAATGGTTGAACTAATTTACACTCCCACCAACAGTGTAAAAGTGTTCGTTTTTCTCCACATCCTCTCCAGCATCTGTTGTCTCCAGATTTTTTAATGATCGCCATTCTAACTGGCGTGAGATGGTATCTCAATGTGGTTTTGATTTGCATCTCTCTGATGACCAGTGACGATGAGCATTTTTTCATATGACTGTTGGCCTCATATATGTCTTCTTTCGTAAAGTATCTGTTCATATCCTTTGCCCACTTTTGAATGGGCTTGTTTGTTTTTTTCCTGTAAATCTGGTTGAGTTCTTTGTAAATTCTGGATATCAGCCCTTTGTCAGATGGGTAGACTGCGAAAATTTTTTCCCATTCTGTTGGTTGCCGATCCACTCTAGTGACTGTTTCTTTTGCTGTGCAGAAGCTGTGGAGTTTCATTAGGTCCCATTTGTCTATTTTGGCTTTTGTTGCCAATGCTTTTGGTGTTTTGTTCATGAAGTCCTTGCCTACTCCTATGTCCTGGATAGTTTTGCCTAGATTTCCTTCTAGGGTTTTTATGGTGCCAGGTCTTATGTTTAAGTCTTTAATCCATCTGGAGTTAATTTTAGTGTAAGGTGTCAGGAAAGGGTCCAGTTTCTGCTTTCTGCACATGGCTAGCCAGTTTTCCAACACCATTTGTTAAACAGGGAATCCTTTCCCCATTGCTTGTTTTTGTCAGGTTTATCAAAGATTGTATAGTTGTATGTATGTTGTGTTGCATCCAGTGCCTCTGTTTTGTTCCATTGGTCTATATCTCTGTTTTGGTACCAGTACCATGCTGTTTTGATTACTGTACCCTTGTAGTATAGTTTGAAATCCAGTAGTGTGATGCCCCCCGCTGTGTTCTTTTTGCTTAGAATTGACTTGGCTATGCGGGCTCTCTTTTGGCTCCATATGAAGTTCATGGTGGTTTTTTCCAGTTCTGTGAAGAAAGTCGATGGTAGCTTGATGGGGATAGCGTTGATTCTGTAAATTACTTTGGGCAGTATAGCCATTTTCACAATATTAATTCTTCCTAACCATGAACATGGAATGTTTCTCCATCTGTTTGTGTTCTCTCTGATTTCGTTGAGCAGTGGTTTGTAGTTCTCCTTGAAGAGGTCTCTTACATTCCTTGTGAGTTGTATTCCAAGGTATTTTATTCTTTTTGTAGCAATTGTGAATGGCAGTTCGCTCTTGATTTGGCTTTCTTTAAGTCTGTTATTGGTGTAGACGAATGCTTGTGATTTTTGCACATTGATTTTATATCCTGAGACTTTGCTGAAGTTGCTTATCAGTTGCAGGAGTTTTTGGGCAGAGGCAATGGGGTCTTCTAGGTATACTATCATGTTGTCTGCAAATAGAGACAATTTGGCTTCCACCTTTCCTATTTGAATACCCTTTATTTCTTTTTCTTGCCTGATTGCTCTGGCTAGAACTTCCAGTACTATATTGAATAGGAGTGGTGAGAGAAGGCATCCTTGTCTAGTGCCAGATTTCAAAGGGAATGCTTCCAGTTTTTGCCCATTCAGTATGATATTGGCTGTTGGTTTGTCGTAAATAGCTTTTATTACTTTGAGATACGTTCCATCGATACCGAGTTTATTGAGGGTTTTTAGCATAAAGGGTTGTTGAATTTTGTCAAATGCCTTCTCTGCGTCAATTGAGATAATCATGTGGTTTTTGTTTTTGGTTCTATTTATGTGGTGAATTACGTTGATAGACTTGCGTATGTTGAACCAGCCTTGCATCCCCGGGATGAATCCTACTTGATCATGATGAATAAGTTTTTTGATTTGCTGTTGCAATCGGCTTGCCAATATTTTATTGAAGATTTTTGCATCTATGTTCATCATGGATATTGGCCTGAAGTTTTCTTTTCTTGTTGGGTCTCTGCCGGGTTTTGGTATCAGGATGATGTTGGTCTCATAAAATGATTTGGGAAGGATTCCCTCTTTTTGGATTGTTTGAAATAGTTTTAGAAGGAATGGTACCAGCTCCTTCTTGTGTGTCTGGTAGAATTCGGCTGTGAACCCGTCTCGACCTGGGCTTTTTTTGTGTGGTAGGCTCTTAATTGCTGCCTCAACTTCAGACCTTGTTATTGGTCTATTCATAGTTTCAGCTTCCTCCTGGTTTAGGCTTGGGAGGACACAGGAGTCCAGGAATTTATCCATTTCTTCCAGGTTTACTAGTTTATGCGCATAGAGTTGTTTGTAATATTCTCTGATGATGGTTTGAATTTCTGTGGAATCTGTGGTGATTTCCCATTTATCATTTTTTATTGCATCTATTTGGTTGTTCTCTCTTTTATTTTTAATCAAGCTGGCTAGTGGTCTGTCTATTTTGTTGATCTTTTCAAAAAACCAGCTCTTGGATTTATTGATTTTTTGAAGGGTTTTTCGTGTCTCAATCTCCTTCAGCTCAGCTCTGATCTTAGTAATTTCTTGTCTTCTGCTGGGTTTTGAGTTTTGTTGATCTTGCTCCTCTAGCTCTTACAATTTTGACGATAGGGTATCAATTTTGGATCTCTCTATTCTCCTCATATGGGCACTTATTGCTATATACTTTCCTCTAGAGACTGCTTTAAATGTGTCCCAGAGGTTCTGGCACATTGTGTCTTCGTTCTCATTGGTTTCGAAGAACTTCTTTATTTCTGCCTTCATTTCGTTGTTTACCCAGTCAACTTTCAAGAGCCAGTTGTTCAGTTTCCATGAAGCTGTGCGGTTCTGGGTTGGTTTCTGAATTCTGAGTTCTAACTTGATTGCACTATGGTCTGAGAGGCTGTTTGTTATGATTTCAGTTGTTTTGCATTTGTTGAGCAGTGCTTTACTTCCAATTATGTGGTCAATTTTAGAGTAGGTGTGATGTGGTGCTGAGAAGAATGTATATTCTGTGGATTTGGGGTGGAGAGTTCTGTAAATGTCTATCAGGTTTGCTTGCTCCAGGTCTGAGTTCAAGCCCTGGATATCCTTGTTGATTTTCTGTCTGGTTGATCTGTCTAGTATTGACAGTGGAGTGTTAAAGTCTCCCACTATTATTGTGTGGGAGTCTAAGTCCTTTTGTAAGTCATTAAGAACTTGCCTTATGTATCTGGGTGCTCCTGCATTGGGTCCATATATGTTTAGGATCGTTAGCTCTTCTTGTTGTATCGATCCTTTTACCATTATGTAATGTCCTTCTTTGTCTCTTTTGATCTTTGTTGCTTTAAAGTCTATTTTATCAGAGATGAGAATTGCAACTCCTGCTTTTTTTTGCTTTCCATTAACTTGGTAAATCTTCCTCCATCCCTTTATTTTGAGCCTTTGTGTATCCTTTCATGTGAGATGGGTTTCCTGGATACAGCACACTGATGGGTTTTGGATTTTTATCCAATTTGCCAGTCTGTGTCTTTTGATTGGTGCGTTTAGTCCATTTACATTTAGGGTTAATATTGTTATGTGTGAATTTGATACTGCCATTTTGATGCTAAGTGGCTGTTTTGCCTGTTAGTTGTTGTAGATTCTTCATTATGTTGATGCTCTTTAGCATTCAGTGTGATTTTGGAATGGCTGGTACTGGTTGATCCTTTCCATGTGTAGTGCCTCTTTTAGGAGCTCTTGTAAAGCAGGCCTGGTGGTGACAAAATCTCTGAGTACTTGCTTGTTTGCAAAGGATTTTATTTTTCCTTCACTTCTGAAGCTCAGTTTGGCTGGATATGAAATTCTGGGTTGAAAGTTCTTTTCTTTAAGAATGTTGAATATTGGCCCCCACTCTCTTCTGGCTTGTAGTGTTTCTGCCTAGAGATCTGCTGTGAGTCTGATGGGCTTCCCTTTGTGGGTGACCCAACCTTTCTCTCTGGCTGCCCTTAGTATTCTCTCCTTTATTTCAACCCTGTTGAATCTGACGATTATGTGCCTTGGGGTTGCTCTTCTTGCGGAATATCTTTGTGGTGTTCTCTGTATTTCCTGCAATTGAGTGTTGGCCTGTCTTGCTAGGTGGGGGAAATTTTCCTGGATGATGTCCTGAAGAGTATTTTCCAGCTTGGATTCATTCTCTTCGTCCCCTTCTGGTACACCTATCAAACGTAGGTTAGGTCTTTTCACATAGTCCCACATTTCTTGGAGAGTTTGTTCATTCTTTTTTGCGCTTTTTTCTCTGATCTTGGTTTCTCGTTTTATTTCATTGAGTTGGTCTTCGACTTCAGATATTCTTTCTTCTGCTTGGTCAGTTCGGCTATTGAAACTTGTGTTTGCTTCACGAAGTTCTCGTATTGTGTTTTTCAGCTCCTTTAATTCATTCATATTCCTCTCTAAGTTATCCATTCTTGTTATCATTTCCTCGAATCTTTTTTCAAGGTTCTTAGTTTCTTTGCATTGATTTAATACATGATCTTTTAGCTCACAAAAGTTTCTCATTATCCACCTTCTGAAGTCTAATTCCGTCATTTCGTCACAGTCATTCTTTGTCCAGCTTTGTTCCCTTGCTGGTGAGGAGTTTTGGTCCTTTCTAGGAGGTGAGGTGTTCTGGTTTCGGGTGTTTTCCTCCTTTTTGCGCTGGTTTCTTCCCATCTTTGTGGATTTGTCCGCTGGTCGTCTGCGTAGTTGCTGACTTTGCGATTGGGTCTCTTTCCGCGGACACAATGCGAGCTTCAATCCTGGGTTGTTCTCACAGCGCCATCTTGAGTCCAAAAAGTTATTTGTTAATAAAGATTTCACAAAAAATGTCTTCAAGTATTTATCCTCCTATTCCCTACTATAAAGATTAATAGCCAATTATTCAAAATTAGGGAAGATTTGTTCTTTGAAGATGATGTCCATTTCTCTGTGGCTTATTGATAAAAGCTAAAATGTGGAGCTTCATGAATGCACTTAAACTATAATAATTCTCTCTTGACATATGTCCCCCGATCCTCTATTTATTTTTCTGCCAATTCACAACTCTAGCAACAAAGTTTTCTCATTTATAGAACAAGGAGAAACCAGTCCCTAGACTTCTTCCCAGCTCTGTCATCTCACAGAACCATAGAGTGCATAATGCTTAGACTACTTTTAGTAAAATAATGTATTCTTATATAACTGTTTCCAAAATGGTGTTCTGATCCAAACCCCAACAAAAGATACTTGAATCTCACGCAGGAAAAAATTCCGGGAAAATACATAGAGTAAAGTGAAAGCAAGTTTATTAAGAAAGTAAAGGAATATCACACACTGGGCTAATGGAGGGACAGAGTGGGGTGGGGAGGTTAGGGAGGATAATATGGGGAGAAATGCCAAATATAGGTGACAGGGGGATGGAGGCAGCAAACTACCTTGCCATGTATGTACCTTTGCAACAATCCTGCATGATCTGCACATGTACCCCAGAACCTATAGTATGACAAAAAGAAAAAAAAAAAGGAGAAAAAAAGAGAAAGGAAAGAAGCAGGAAGGGAGGAGGGAGGGGAAGGATAAAAAAATGAAAGGGAGAAAGGAAGGAATTGAGGGAGGGAGGGAGGAAAAAAGCAAAAAAGAAGAAAGTAAAGGAATAAAAAGAACGGCTACTCCATAGGCAGATCAGTGATATGAGGAGCTCAGCCGGTTATTTTTATGGTTATTTCTTGATTATATGGTAAAAAAAAAAAGGGGGTGAATATTAATGAGTTTTAAAGGAAAGGGGTGGACAATTCAAGGAACTGAGGAGTCCTCTCTTTTTTAGACCCTATGGAGTAACTTCTGAATGTTGTTATGGTGCTTATAAACTTTCATGGCACTGGTGAGAGTGTCTTTTCCAGCTTTTTTTTTTTAAAACACAATCTGTTTTATCAGCATGGGCTTTGTATCCTGTATTTTGTGTCGACTTTTTATATTATCCTGTGACTAAGAATGCCTGACCTACTGTAAATGCAACCCAGTAAGTCTTCATCTTATTTTACCCAACCCCTATCCTAGATGGAGTCACTCTAGTTTAAACACTTCTGACATTACTACATTCTTTTTTTTTTTTTTTTTTTTTTTACTTTTTAAGTGTTTCAATATGTCCCCCTGAGAATCACTCGGACAGATCCCAAAGTGAGGCTGACTGCACTGGTCTCCAGGATCCACAGACGTGGCAAGAATACATGTATCAGTGACGCTCATGTTTGACTTGGACTTTCTTTATTTGTAGCCTGTGGTACTTCTGCTCCTCAAAAGTTTTATAATTTACCAATATCTCTACTAGTGTTCATTTGAAATAAACAGAAACCTTAACTCAAACTGGATGAAATACATACATTTACATACCAAGATGTCCACAAGTAGGTTGGATTTAAGGTTTGATTCAGCAGCTGCACAACATCTTCAGGAACCCAGGTTCTTTTCATCTCTCCATTCTCTTATCCCCAGAGTCAAATTCAGACCGTTCGTGGTTAGAAGTTGACTGTTAGCAACAACCACTACGTAGTTTCTTATTCAACGCCAATGAGAGAGAAGTAGACTTCCTTCCACTTGAGAGTGATGAAGAATTTTCCCAGATGCCTCCAGAAAACTTCCTGCGTCTGTGCTTAGCCCTTTACATGAATTCTCTCATTTACTTTCACACTATCCTATTAAATAGGTACTATTTATAATCTCCACCTTGCAAATGAGGACACTGAGGGTAAAGTCATTAAGTGTTTTGTTTAAGATTACCTGGCCAGTATTGGAAAGGAAGTCTCATCAAAACACAAGTGGAGATGGATTCTTGCATACAGATTGAAACAAAAAAAAGTATTATTTTTACTGAATTTTTTTATGAAAAAAAATTTTACTGACATTATTTTATGAAAAATGATCTCATAAGCAGATACATTAGTAATAGTGGAACTGTTGCTTAGCTGCATTACATATGAAATAAGGGTTTTTATTTTTAATCCACCTTATGAAACCTAAACATTCTTTCAAATAATTATTTCTCTGGGACAAATTCTACCAGACACACAAAGAGGAGCTGGTACCATTCCTTCTAAAACTATTTCAAACAATCCAAAAAGAGGGAATCCTTCCCAAATCATTTTATGAGACCAACATCATTCTGATACCAAAACCCGGCAAAGACCCAACAAGAAAAGAAAACTTCAGGCCAATATCCATGATGAACATAGATGCAAAAATCTTCAATAAAATATTGGCAAGCCGATTGCAACAGCAAATCAAAAAACTTATTCATCATGATCAAGCACATTCTTATGTTCAAAGAGAGAAAACATAGAATAAAGTGTGATTTCAGAGGTTTAAAATCACAGACTAGGTTGAGAAAAAAAATTGAAGTTGCTTAAAGGCAGCTAAAAAATACGTGGACTTCAAAAATTATCTGGTTCATTGATGATCACATTTAGGTAAATTACTGGTTATCTCATAACAAAAGTTGGTGGGGAAAATTTATTCACCTTCCTTAATTTTAGAATGTGCTTGAAGACAAGTAAGTAGATAGGAAGAGAGTGAGATACATGGAGTGAAAAACAAAACCAATAAAGAAATTAATTATAAAAAAATGAATGGTGGGAGTACAATTAAAAAGAAATGTAATAGTTATGCAATCTGAAAGACTGATTGACAGAATAAATTAAAAAATTACTTTAATGAGAAAAATAATTTTACAGATGTTTTTCACATTGAAGTTTGATAGGATAGCATGAGAAAGGAATTTGCAAGAACCAAAATGGTAACTTTAAAACATGTGTGAAGTTTTTCTACTAATAGCTTCAGGGAGGAAAGGATAATTGGAAAAGATTCCTGAAGGGAAAAGTAAAATTTTAACCAAGTAAGATGAAAGAAAAATGATGAAAGGTTGTGCCCTATTTGCTTGATTGAAGGGAGTAACAACAATGGGTGGGAAAGATGAGAGGAGAAACTGAGTGGAATTTTTTTTTAATTTATGGACAATCAGAAATACCACCTTGTTCATATGTTAGCTAAGGAAAAAAAGGTCAAATCTATAAGGATAGAATTAATGTGGGCCATGTACAATTGTGATTAAAGCAAATCAAATGATGGAAAATTACAAGCTTCAATTTAAAAGATTCAGTTTAAAAATTTCAGAATGCAAAATGAGCTGTCAAAAATAAGCAGCCAGATTAAAGATTATCAGAGAAAGAAGACAATGATAGAATAACAGAGATAACAAAAACTACAGAAATATTTTATTTTTATTTTTAAGTAAAAACACAAAGGTACTAGAAAATAACTTTAAAATTGTGTTGGAATTTTAGTCCAAATATTTTAAATCAGAATAGTTGGTGTTATTATTTATTAAATTCATTTCTAAAGCCTTTTCTATAACAACACAGAACTTGTGGAGAGTAGCATCTTTAAAAGCACTAGCAATATAATAAAAAGTCACTCTTTAAGAAACAAAAAACTTCTTTCTGGTTCAATAAAAATTTTCTTGGAAAAAAAGAAGACTATACCTGTGTACCAGTGTATAAATTCTTTACACTTAGTCAATCAAGTTGCATCAGTTAAAATTTTCTTTGAAAGATATTGCTTATGGCTTCTAGTTTGTGTTAAATCTTATCATCTTAAATAAAATTTAGAAAGATCAGATAAATATTGTATCATCTCAGATCGAAAGCATAGCACTAAAATTGTCTAAAATAGGCTTTTACAGGGAACCGAAAAGTCAGTTCTGTGGTATTTTGTGAATTTAGCCTTTAATGGTCAACTTTATTAAATTGATAAGAAAAAATACTCTGACAAACCTTCCAACAATGATTATGGATTTGATATGTCATACTGGTTGAATAGCCCAAATTCCACATAAGTTATTAACAGAAGCATAGAATGTAATATCGCCACAGTATTGCTTCAGTGATTTGTTCATATAATTTATGAACTGAAAAGTAAAAATCATACTTTATTGGCTCTTTCTCAACAGTAATGTAGGAATTTGCAGAGGGAAATATCAGAAAACACAATTTAGAATGTAGTATTACAACAGCTAAAGTTTGCAAGAACTGGAGATACTGACTATTTAATTGGTTAGAATCAGTTATTTGTTTATAATGGCAAGGATGATGGCTGTAACTGAGCTAGTTGTAAGGAAAGAGCCACACTCTGAGATTGTTTCAGGAGTCCTTTACTGCCTGCAACCAGGAGACTGCTAATGCTCAAAATTCTCGCATTCCTGAAGAAGGGGCTTGATTCCTTTTTATATCTTGTTTAGAGAAGGCAGGAGGCAAAGTGGAATTTTACAGCAGCAAAACAAGCAAGTTAGTAGGAGATAGCTGGTAACCAGAAGGCAGGAGGTTCCCAGGATTGTTGGTTACCAAGTGGGGTAGCAGGAGGGACTTTCCATATAATCAATCACCAAAGTGGGTAGGGTATTCACAATAGCAGGTAGACTCACCAAGCAGGATGTAATTACAACGGTTACAGGTACTGAGAACAGCGTAACCCAATCCTCAATGATTCAGGGCTTTGAGTACAGCATGACCCAGTAATGCACCTGAGGGGGCTGTGGCAGGGAGGGAGAAGCTAAGATGGAGCTTGTCAGGCTCACAGCTAAGATGGAGTCAGTTAGGCTAGCACAAGTTAGGCTAGCACATGATAACTTTATTTTTAAATATATATATAGAGAGATTTAATAGAATTCATATTCATATGCATATATGTTAAATCTTATAGATAGATAGATAGATAGATAGATAGATAGATAGATAGATAGATAGATAGATCGATCTCATTTTTAGAGATGAGATATTGCTATTTTGCCCAGGCTGGTCTCAAACTCCTGGCCTCAGGCAATCTTCCCACTTCAGCCTTCCAAAATGTTGGAATTAGAAGCGTGAGCCATCGATGATAACTTTAAAAATGGAATCTATGCTTTTAGAGATGAGATATTGCTATTTTGCCCAGGCTGGTCTCAAACTCCTGGCCTCAGGCAATCTTCCCACTTCAGCCTTCCAAAATGTTGGAATTAGAAGCGCGAGCCATCGATGATAACTTTAAAAATGGAATCTATGCTTTCCATTTATCCTATTGTTCCTCTATTTATCAAATTATTATCTTACTTGTTTTACACATAGGAAATTAACTGTGAAGTGATTTGCCCAAGGTCATTCATTCATGTTCGAATTGAACAACCAACATGATTCGCTGAACAATCTTCTCAGGGAAAAAATTAAAAACATACCTCAACAGACATGAAAGTTCACAGTTTAATTATATATACATATCTATAGCTTCTTCTACACAGATTATTTAGTTATCTCACCAGAGAGCTTACTCTGAAAGTAAGAAAACTGATAGCTGAGAGCCATTTTCAATTGTCATTTTAATGGTGTGCTTCCAAGAAATTCCTTTGTAATAGCATTTTCTAAATGGGTGGAAGGTCACCGTATCCTGATGAGATACTGTGACCTTCCACTAATTTGGGAAATGCAAAGTGCCATGGATTCCAGAGTACTTTGTTGCCATTCTGAGTGGGTTTAGGAGAGGCCATGGACTGCTATTTGTGCAGAAAGTTTTTAATCAGAGATAATGGTCAATACTGAATTTTGCAAGTCTTTAGTACTTTTTCATTTGCTTTTTTTCTCAAAATTCTAGTAATTCATTAATAACTTTGCTTTTCATTTTGAATGCTGGAATACTTGTCTTTCAACTCATCACTGTTATTACTGGTGCAATAATTCCATATCTAAAAAGAAATGCAAATATGTGAGCACCAATATATCTATGTATGCTCATATGCTCATAATGGCATTTTTAAGAATGTATAAATATTTGAAAGTGGTATAATAGAGAATGTTTAAGGCCACACACTGTGGCTCATGCCTACAATCCCAGCACTTTAGGAGGCTGAGGCAGGCAGATAGCTTAAATTCAGAAGCTCAAGACCAGCCTGGCCAACACAAAAAAACACTGTCTCTACTAAAAATACCAAAATAAGCCTGGTGTGATGGCTTATGTCTGTAATCCCATCTATTCAAGAGGCTGAGGCAGGAGAATGACTTGAATCTAGGAGGCAGAGGTTACAGTGAGTCAAGATTGCATCACTGCACTCCAGCTTGGGTGACAGAGCGCGGTACCATCTCAAAAAAAAAGAGAAAATGGTTAAATAAATTATGAGAGCCCTAAACAACAGCTTATTATTGTACAATTTAAGATGATTTATGTGTCTTTTTTCACATGAAAAAATTATTAGAATGAAATATTTTAAGTGAAAAGTAGGCCTACAAACTGGACATATAACATGACCTAAATCATGTTAAAATTTACATGTGTAGATAATACTAGAAACACACTCCAATGTTAATGGTAGCTTATTTTATCAGTGGCAATTTCGGGTAAACATCACTTTCTTCTCTGTCCTTGTCTTGATTTCCAAATTGCATCTAATGGACAT